TTTTTTTTTTTTTCGTAGACGGTCATGACTATTTTTACTGAAGTTTCAAAATGAATAGATCTCTGAAGTTGTCAAAATTAGTTCAATTCTACGTTATTTAAACGTCAAAAATATTACTTATGTATATTTTGAATGCGCACTTAGTCAAGTCATGTATAGTATAGATTTTTTCTCTTTTAATTTTAAACTTACAGTTTTACAATCGTGTTTTTCTTTGAAATTATCAACAAAAATGCTGAAAATTAAAATATACATTGTTTTTGCGTTACTGCACACAATGAGTTGTACAAATGTCGTAACTCAAGATTTGGACAATATTGAGTTTTCACCTGGTCCAACATGGGCTCCTGTATCTGCAGAGGAAATTAAAGAAACATTAACAAGGACAAAGATAATCCCTGACGCGCTAGATAAAGCGCCTGACTATAATGCAAATGTGAGTATCATAATGAATTTTGAAAAATTTTAAGTGAATTGAATATAAACAGAATTTTTAAATGCATTAATTCTTCAGACGATTTAAATTCTTGGAGAACCTTATTTTTGGAGGGTCAGAGTGGGAGATGATTTAAAATGAGACTTTTGAATAATTGCACTCATTTAAGTTTGAAATATTTTGATTTACATGCATGTGTCAAAAAATTATAGATTAAAATCTGATTACTGTAATTATTGACCACTGTATGATCTACTTTAGACAATTTTTACAGGATTTTGAACATTAATTTTCCATTTTCGATCTGAAAATGATGTAATGCGTCATTTTAATTTGTCTTTGTGGAAACTAAAGTGATAAATTATTCATTTTCACGCTTTTAGATGTGCCTTTCAGATCTTGTGGTACGATTTACCTATGGGATTTGGAAGAACTTTAGTTCCATATGAAGTAATTTACTTTCCTTCATGGTTTCAATGGCCTCATGACAAAGAAAAGCTTTACACATTTGTAATGACAGGTAAAATACTCAATGAAAAAGCATTACTTTTAACAATGAAACACTGAGAAAATATATTACTGAAACTGTCACTCGAAAGTAAAGAGTTAAACAGAAGGCGGGTCCAGCAATTTGGCAACACCGGATTTCCTCCATTTAAACTTTTACTAAGTAATCGATCTTTGTCGAAGCACCTGGCTCCTCCAAGAATCGATATATTTCCATGGGTTTAAATGGACGAAATCACCTCGATGGGTCGATATCTGACTTTTAAGTGTGCCACTAGGCAAAACGTTTCCACGGATCTGGGTATTTCCTTGGAAATTTTAAAAACATCTAGTGCGACACACATAAGAAATAAAAATAAATAAATAAAAAAAAAGTCAATTTGAAATTTCTCGAGAAGTTGTGTTCTTTGATTTTTATGAAAGTTCGTGATGATTGTTAAGGCAAAACGCAGTATTGAAATCTTTCGATGGTATGGTACATGTGGAAACTTAAAATTTGCCAAGCAGCGCTTTTAGCTGCAGTATTTTTACTTTGGTGCCTTCTAGTATTTCCGTAATATATATTAAGGGGTATCAAAGTGTGGAAAAAGAGGGAAGCTTTGATAAAAATAATCGGCATGCAACATTTACACAAATAACGGAGAGGAATATGAAGAATGCATTTTACGGCAAATTTGTTCAGGAAATGAATGCATAGTTCCTGCTTGCGTGCTAATTGTTCTCATAAATATTTGAGAGGGAATAAAATAGAGTCAAAAATAAGCCAGACATATTTGAAAAAGAAACACTAAGAAATGGCCTCGAACTGTATGCACCACCCTCTTCATATTTGAAAACGAAGATAAAAATGGACTGGGGACTCATAAATCTACTATCGAAGAAAAAGAATTAATTAAATTTTAATTAAATCAATTAATTAATTTAATCAAATTTTTCTGTTAACTGAAAAGTCGTGAAATAAATTAGTTTACCATTTTGCGCTCAGGAATGTAAGCAAAAGCTTCAAGTTTGAAAAAAAAATAAATTATATTCTTTTGCAGATCTTGACTACCCAACCAAGAAAACTCCCAACGGGCGGGAGTTCCTGATATGGCTGATAGGTAATATCCCTGGAAATGAGGGGTTGGCTGGCAAGAAGTGTGTTGAATACGTTGGATAGCAAGAGGCTTTTAAGCAGGATCCAGGTAAGGGCACAGGATCAGGAAGAGCAAATTAATTATGACTTTTTTAAGTATCCCTATTAATTTGAGAAAATCTCTCAATTATCTAAACGCGCCATGTTTCATAACGAGCTTATTGTAACGGCTGGCGTGCTGCAAGATAATTTGGGACCCATTGCTTCGTGTGTTACTTTAAAACCTCTTTGTGGCGGCGGGAACGCAGTTGAATTTTTGCACAGCGATAAATAAAACTGCACAACGTTTAGAGCGCTGGTAAGGGCCGGATTTAGGGGGTAGCTATATGGGCCGCGGCCCATGGCGGCAAATTTAGGGGGTGGCAAATTTTACAATTTTTTTTTTAAATGTGGGTATATAAAAAAATCGGATTCAGAAAAAAATACAAACGAGAACAGGCGAAAAAATCACTCATTTCCTGAGAGAATAGTAATTTCTAATTTGTTCGTCTTTTAGTGATACAGGAGACAGCACCTTTAATACGTCGAGTTAAGAGAGAAACCAAACACAAAATTTGGCCTGGAACGGCGCGGCACAGAGAGCAATGATGACAAAGGACTTGAAATGAAAAGGAGAAGCCCTCGGCGCGACGGTCGGCATGTAACACATATTTGCGCCTACATAACTGCATGAATACTTCACGCATTGCGTCGAGCACACCGCGGTCAGCAGCGGTCGCCGTGAAACGCTTAGCCGAGCGCCTACAAGACTGTAGGAATACTTCACGCATTGCGTCAAACACAGTACGGTCAGCAGCGGTTGGCGTGAAACGCATAGCGCCTACAAGCCTGCATGGATACTTCACGCATTGCGTCGAACACACTGCGCGCGGTATGCAGTGCTCGACGTGAAACGCATAGCGCCTACAAGACTGTAGGAATACTTCACGCATTGCGCCACATACAGTGCGGTCAGCGCGACACGGCGCGGCGGCGGCGGAAGTTAAAATTATTAAACCACATTTAGGTTTGTTCTTTCATAATTTTTTAGTTTCTTTCTTATAAATGGAAGGCATTGTCCACACAGAGATACGTTTTTGGATCTTACTTTCGCGCAAAGTTCCGTAAACCTATAGTAGTAGTGTTGACAGGTCGCAAAAAATGTGTCCAACACGAAAAAAAGCGTCTTATGCACCCCTTCCCCTGTTCGTTTTTATTGATATTTCAAAACGAATGAGAAGAGGGCTGCAAAATACAGGCGGCCCATGGGTGGCAAGTAGGTAAATCCGGCCCTGGCGCTGGTAATTGATTTTTAATCAATGACAGCATGAAATGAATTCATTGCACCTCTTCATGTCTCACTACAATTAGATCTGTAATTTGGATGTAGCTATAAATATGCTCGGTGCAAATAGCTTTTTTGACATTTTTTTTTTCAATTACGCGTGCAAATGATCCGCCAATGGTGAGTTTTGTATAGCACCAGCCACCAGGAACGAAAATTAGATTAGGATGAAGAGTCGATTTCCGTGGTTTCGTATGGGACTCTTGAGGCGCGTTCAAAACCCCCTCTACGTATTTATTTTCATACTAATTTTATTGACTTACAATGTGCTGCGAGTTTCAGATTTTATTTTATGTTTTTTCAGATTTTCATAGATATATCGTGACAGTTTTTGAACAACCCCAGAAACTTCCAATAGATTTCAATTCAATAAAATATTAAAAATCAGAGTAAGTTATCTTAAGTTCTGCGTTTTTTTTATAAAAAAAATAAAAATCTGTAAACATCGTTAAGCAAAATTTGGCTTACCTCTGACCAAAATTTCGAGGAATAAAAATGAATTTCGGAGCCAAAAAATTTGAATAAGGGTTACACGGCGTGCATTACGATATATTGATTTATCTGCCATTTTAACCTATGGGAAAGGATCGATAAACAGGGTGTTCGCATCGAGGACCTTCATGATCGATTCTTTACCATATTTTCAAATGGGGAAATATCGTTAACTCTCCATGCCTCGCCACTGGTTGCACGGTGTGAAGTCTCATTTTTTAAATTTTGATTTTAAAGCACACATTTTTTTTAGTTCAGGTAAAAGCCGACGGGGAAAAGAATCACATCTTCTTTCGTACATTAGCTGAATATTTTTATCACACTAGCATACCAAATCTTCGGTAGGCAAACGGGGGAGTAGTTTTGAATGTACTCATTTATTTCTAGAAACCATACTGTTTAATTTTTGATCGTTTGTTTCAGATCAGCGATTCAAAATAGGACAAAATTTTCAACCCGAAAGTTTGCGACTACATTTAAGTTAGGAGATCCTATCGCCGTAGATTTTGCGTTCGTTAATGTTTCAGGACCGACAGAGTGAACAGCGCTACATGACTAAATGTAAACATGCACACGAAGACATCTAAAATTAATGCACCTGAGAAAAATCAAATTGTTGCGAGAAAGCAGCTTGGTTATTTCATCATCTGGTTTTGCAGTTTTACAATATTAAGACATTTCATGTTCCAAGACTTTAACGTGCACGTTGAAAATATGAAGCATGAGGAAGGAAGCATACACATTTGTATGAATGTAACAGCCCACTTGGAGCTTGAGGCACGAGAAACGCCTTCATTTTTCATGACAGGCAAAATATCCTTGGAGCAGATAAACTTGCATTTAGGCGCTACCATTGACAAGCAGTGAAAAGTATTCAATATTGAGGCTGTGTCGTGACACACAGTGTAACTTACACTTCGTGGTAAAAAAACTAACTTTTGAGACCTTTTCACCGCATTTGAATTGTACACTTTGCCTAATTTTTTCTCGAATGATACATTCTTAAACAAAAACTGAGGATTATAATGCCATTTATTTTTGAAGCGCCCCCGTAGGTTGTAAAGAATTTACTCATAAAATGGCAAAAGACAAGAAATTGCCTAAATTCATGTTAAAAATTATAAAAAAAACATGAGAGGCTACTAGGCAACGTGCAATGCACGAAGTTATACTAATTTTAGTTTATACCGTTAGTTTATGGTGTGACTTAAACAATTTGAGGTTCGCTTGATTAACTTCATTGCTTAAAGTTTGATTTTTTTTAGAATATTTTGTCCCGCATTTAAAGTTAGATGAATATTTAACTGCTATTTTTTACAAACTTAATTGCGTTTTATTTCTCAATGAGGGGAGGGCGAAGGGTCACTCAACCTGCCGTAATGTAAGAACAGTGGGTCAACAAACTGGCAGGTATCTTGAACTAACGATCCCCTACTAAAGTAAAAAGAGAAGAAACCTGTTTAGAATTAAGAAAAAAACAGGGAGCTATCCTTTTGAAAATATTCTTTTTGAGTTATTCTGAATTGAAAAAGTACAAGAGATTGTTCTATTTCATGGAGAGATCTCGGCCGGTCTTAAATAATCCAAACTTTTAGATCTTTTGCTCGCTTGAATTTATTAAATGAAATTATTAATCCCCTGTACTTCCACCGCTCACAAGAAACTGACGTCAACTTACTTAACTTTGATTATCATTATAGATGGTGGTGACACAGTTCCGTATTGATAGGTAAGGTTTGATAAAGTGATTTCCCTCAATATCATCTGAGATTTCAGACTACTTATTCATTTCAACTGTGACAATTCCTTGTGAAGATTCTACTCAGGTGAGGTGACAAGTAATGCAACATAACATAACCTTTTTCATTGGGATTTAAATATGAGGCACGCAATCATAGTTGATTATTTTGCTTTACGACGAGACGCAGTATTAATCTTGCCTTTTGTGTTTGGTTTCTTGATCGATGCTATCGAAGGCAATCAGTCAGCCGCTAGCGTCGAGGAGATTCAGTCGATTGCAAGCAAACTACGACTATTTCCTCAAATAATCAAAACCATCCCGTCCAATATCGTAGAGGTAATGCCATTGTCACAAATCTTACACCCTCATCATTAATTAAAAAGTTTGAAAACTTAAAATGTTGCACACCGTTTTTTTGAGGAGTGTAAATCGACAGCTAAACTCGTAGGTACAAAATCAACATGCTCACCATATTTGTGGTAAGGTGTGAATGATCGATCAGCGATAGTTCCCCCATTTGAAGCTAAGGTAAAGAATCGATTATTAAGGTGTCCGTCGCAAACACCCCGTGTAAAGATCCTTTACGATGGGCTTAAAAGGCAGATCAATCGATATATCGCAAAGCTCGCCACGTCGATGCACCAAATAATTCATAGAGAAGTTTACTCTCCTACTCGATTACGGGATAAATCCTTTCGGAATATTGGGGGGGGGGGGCAGGTAAGAAGAAAAGAACCTGAAATCGGGCATTGTTCGGGAAATTTTAAAATTACCTCTCTTCCTTCTTCCATATGAGTTGCGTGGATCCACCCCCAATTACATGATCAACAATGGGACCGTTGGAAATGTTATCGCAATAAATACTTAAATGATTAAATAAACAATGATTTTTAAAATTGGTGAGATATCAATGCTGATATGAAAGGTCAGCCTGAGATTTTCAGCGTGTAACTCAGCAAATACAAAGATTTTAAAAATAATAATTTACGAAGGCCTTTCAAAAGGAGAATTTACAGGCTAATCACTGAAAAGTTTGCCAAAACGAAAATGCTTATGGGGAAATATTTTTTCTTTCAATATCAGGTAACGTATGGTGAACGTAGGCTAAAATTAGGAGACTTAGTAAATGCAGACGATATTATCGACGAACCTCTCGTATCGTGGCCCTCAAAAGAAGGCGCGGTGTATATTATGATACTATCAGGTAAGAAATTCACGGATAAATCGTTAAAAATAAATTCAACTTCGGACTGAAAAAATTTCAATTAACTAGAAAATCACGAATCAGTAGCAGAATCAGGAATTCGATCTTACATTTTACAATCGAAATTTTAATTTGAAGGTGAAACTGCGTATCACGGTTGCGGTGCTTTGAAATCTCCACCACTACTGTTTTTTTATCTTTTTATTTAAAAAAAAGAGGCCAATATAACATCATGACTTGAAGATTTCACTGAATATTCTTTATAAAAAGAAGACAAATCATAGAAATTTACACAAAATGACTTTCAGTTATTGTTAATTTAGAAAATAAAGTATGAAAGAAAGTCTGCAACGCCGGACACTGAGATATGCACTTCATCTATGGACTCACAATCGAATGAGCCTCTAGACAGGGTAAGAACTGGAGGCTCTAAGCACATGAATCTGCATCAGAATTTCGCGTAGAATTCAATGGTACAAACGGGAATTCATGAAACCAACTAATAAGCGAGATATTTGCGTAAATAGACTGCGCATTTTTGTAAATCCCGCTCGCCTAATATACGAATGACGTCACATTTGTAGCCAATAGGATTGTCGCAGCGCTGCGCAGCGCCGACTGAGCATCGGCCATCGAAAATTGATAACAGGAAGGACCCAAGCACCCAAGCAACTCGAAATCTTTTAATTTTCATTCATTACAGTCCATGTTCGACTTCAAGAAAGCATTTGACAACCATTTTCCTCGTATTTTATAACCTGGAGCCACAGCCTATCGGCTCATTGTAATGTGCACTCTGAGAATCAGTTCCACAAGTCCAAACCCTGACATTCTTTTCTTTGACCATTCTATTTTCATTCTCGCCACAATTTAAGTGTTATGCAGTTTCTTTATCTAAAATATGTGGTCTTGAATTCATTCAGGAGTCAGAAGTTTACCTTTCTTTTAGTATTACAGCCCTTTGACCCCTCAAACTTCACCGATATGACCTCATGTAGTTCAAGGTTTCTCTGGCCCGAACCGAGTGATTACACATCTGAGGTGTGTCTCATGGTTCTTCAAATTAGCAGTTTAGAACTAAATTAGGGACTACAGTGACTCAATCCAGTTCTGCTTTCTTGTTCAATGTTTGTTATCAGTGTCTGTTCTTTTTCGTGACCAATCTAGTGCATGCACTGTTACGCTTTAAGTACAGGTATTATTGCTTTTTTCCTGCTGTCAGATCTTTTTCTTAAGCCTGCTGATTCACCACAGAATCTGCCCTAGTTGTGTAAATAATTTGGTGTGTAGTTATTGAGTTAATACCTCCTTGCGGTGATGCAAACTTTCTCAGATCCGTCATAAGTGGGTATTGCATTTAGACGATCACTCGGACCAGATGAAATCACTGCCCTAGCAGCTTCAAATTTATACTTTGATCTCTGATTCACTAATAAATAACACTTTATGGTGCCATTTATATTTAATCAGTTCAAAGCTAATTCGACAATGAATCATCAATGGACCGATCGAAAAAGGAATTTTCTGGTGCGTGCTACGGCTGAATCGACATTACCTACAACTCAACTTTCGAAAGCATGAACCTTAAAAAAATTCATCAGGAACTGGTACTTGGTAAGTAATAATTATGTTAGCACTCTCCTATTTCTGAAGAGATGTGTGTCCTGTAAATTTCAGAATATACTCTCCTGCCATATATCTAAAGAGGAATACAACATCTCAAGTGGGTGAAGTTATAAAATTGTGGAAATTGGTCATTTAAAGGGCTTCTCTGCTCGAAGACATGACTGAACCAATCTGAAAGCTGTGAGTTACGAATGATGGAGGGTCCAAGGTGTCTTCCCTGCTTTAAAAGATAAGGAATTGTGCCTCAGGCCTTAAATGCTATTGGAAATTCCAAACATTGTGAATTCAAATGCACGCTACACTTCATCAATGAATATGGAAATTTGTCTCAGAGAAAATCTGATAAGACCATCTCGTAGGTATTTATTCCTGGTTTCTTAATTTCAGAATTTTTGTATTCTAGTTATCATCAAATGCTAATCAACAGATATTGCACAAAACAGTTGCTAATTATTTGAGGATTCATTTCTTAATCAGTATGTTTTATGTGTTTCATTCAGCGGTCGCCTTACTGAATTTCATGAAATGAAGTGATCACACCTACTTACCTGCAACATAGTTAGATCATCTTCCAAGCGTTAAAAAAATATTTTTCCTCTCTTTTAAGAATTCAGGGCGAGTAAAACCTGCTCAACAAAAGTTTGTGTAAGATTGTTCCATTCAAAATCACCTAAGAATCATTTCAATGGTAAAGTTGCCAACGATTCCTATTGAAAGTCGTTTGGTTCACTGAATTTTTCAGGTACCGAAAGATGAAAGGATCTTGAAAAGTCATAGAATTATCCCACCATGAAAACAAGTTGGGAAAAACAGTTCAGATTGACCAGGGATGACATTTGTAACATTTACTTCTCAAACCAATCTAATGGCCAAACATAGGTATCATTTGCAAAACGTGTAAATTACATATCCTGAATACGTTGCTCAAACTTTCTACATCCAGTTCAGATTTTCAAAGGGAAGCAAGTCAGCATATTGTTTGAATTAATTACTGAATTTTCTGCCCATGTAGAGGAAAAATATCACATTTCAGAGATTTTGTTGAATGATTTTTTAATTGAGAAATTAAGAGAAACAGGAAGTCTGAAACTTTGTGAATTTAGGTGAGTGGTTTCCCAGTTTAGCCTTGTCATTAACATCCTCTTTTTGCCATGAATGATTATCCACAAACGTAAGCATACTCACACTAACTGTCCAACAACAGATCCTTATGTACCCTGGTGATACCTTAGTAACTTCATATATCTTACCTTTTGAACTACTTGAATGGTTGAAAAATATTTTCACTTCAAGACGGATGGTCATGTCCTGATTGAAGCTTTCGAAAATTGAATGTAGTGTCGATTCAGCCATAGCACGCACCAGAAAATTCCTTTTTCGATCGGACCATTGATGATTCATTGTCGAATTAGCTTTGAACTGATTAAATATAAATGACACCATAAAGTGTTATTTATTAGTGAATCAGAGATCAAAGTATAAATTTGAAGCTGCTAGAGCAGTGATTTCATCTGGTCCGAGTGATCGTCTAAATGCAATACCCACTTATGACGGATCTGAGAAAGTTTGCATCACCGCAAGGAGGTATTAACTCAATAACTACACACCAAATTATTTACACAACTAGGGCAGATTCTGTGGTGAATCAGCAGGCTTAAGAAAAAGGTCTGACAGCAGGAAAAAAGCAATAATACCTGTACTTATAGCGTAACAGTGCATGCACTAGATTGGTCACGTAAAAGAACAGACA